GCCTGAAATTTTTCGGGATTACAATACTTCCTTTTTACTTCGTACAAGGAAATAAAAAGTATTTAATGATTTTAGAGTTAGAAGGGCAATTTCAGTAGAATTTTTAGCCTTATATAATTACGCGAGATAAATTTAAAAGAATAATTTCTTCATTTTATGCAGTTTTCCTTGACTGCAATGCCCTTAGATAACTAAGTCGAATTCTCTCAAAGAAGAAAAATGAAAAATTTGTTGCAGTCCTAAAACCATTTCACAATGGCACTTTTCACGACAATATCGTCGCTGTATAAGGTATTTTCTCCCTCCTTTCTGCATGACTTCGTGGTATAACGGTGAGTACACTCGGCGCATATTCGAGAGATCCAGGTTCGAATTCATAAGAAGGCATTGCTCACTTTTCGCATCTCTTGCTTCATCTGACGGAAGTCGCACTAAGAAAAGTTACTAGAGTGGGCGCGTGGGGTATCACATACCCCAATATTTAAAATACGATAAAAATAGTTTTATTTAGTTTTAAAGCTGTTCCTTATTCTCGTGTATTATAAATACGTGAATAATAATTGGGTTTAAAAAAATTAATTTCCAAAATAATCTTAGAGTTAAATTTAAGATAAATGAAAATAATAAAAAAATAAACATCATGCCTCTAAGTTTCATTGCATCTTTAATACATAATGCTTATTTTATTTCTTCACACTTTGAACAAAATGCATTCATGTGTTCTTGGCACAGAATGTTTTCACATTTTAAACATTGCATTCACGTTCTTCTGTCCTTGGCGCGAGGGCAATTTATGACATCTTTCATACTTAGTTGTTTCGAATTTCATGTATTCGTTTCAATTCTTCGTCAAAACTTCTGCTTTTGTTTTGCATGCAGTACGTCAGTTTCTTGATAAAGTATTAATCTCTGATCTTTGTTCAATACTTTTTTTCATTAATTGTAATGCTAAGTCCTTTGAAAACAGACTTTTGTTTCTGTTTGGTGGATTAACAGTTGATTGTAATTTAATTCAAGCATTGATTACAGCAACATTCAATGCAGGAAAGAAAATTACCATTGGCAACCTCCTTGTTATTCTGGCAATTGAATAATTGGCTGACATTTCATCCCCCATATCCACTGCTCCTTTAGTCATATTATAAAAACATATAATACCTGACGTTGTATTTTCTCCAATAGTATCATCTATAGTATGATCGTTATATAATGTTGAAAGCATAAGAACAGTTTTTCCTTTTTTAGGAACATCAGGACTTAATGTTTTATCTTTTTCGAAACCAAAACAGTGTAGAAAATATTCCTAGTTTCATCTTCAGTTTCCGAAATCCAATCTTCATCGCTTTCAAATATTTCTAATAAATCTCACAGGCGTTGCATCTCCAGCTCATAGGGAGTCATTCTTTTTACCATAATGCGGTTAGAAATTTTTAAGAATTTAATGTCAAGTACTTTAAAATCACTTGCGAGTAAAATATTTACTGTTACACTCTAGAAATAAATTTCTGAAGTAAATATTCGGTCAGAAAAACACTTACGCGGACAGGCGCGTGGGGTGTGTCATACCCCAGTTCCAACAAAATACCGATAAATCTGTTTCTGAAACGCACAGGCAAAGAAAAAGCGGTTCTGAAAGTCAACCACAACTAGAAACTCAGCTACTGAATGAAGCACAGAATTTCAGTTTCACAAGTTAGGAATATTCCACTTTTATGTAGGGGTGGGGTGTGATACACCCCACGCGCTTTCCCGCGGGTTAAAAAAATCCTAATGACTACAGATGCAATTATGAATTACGGAAGTACTACACTTCGTTCCTCCCTTGAGAATACGGTGAGCGGGTGAGAAACTTAAATTGACATTGTGGTACAGCAGTCGGAGAAGCTTGAACTCTCTGTGCGACGTTCACCTGCAACCGAACGGTAAACTCGTAGTTCGGTCCGAGATTCGCATCCTTGAACTAACTGGCTGCATAGGCGTTTTCGTGGTTTTTCCCGTGTGTAACATGTATATGAGGCAGGATCCCTTAGAAAGTTCTCCACGAAAGTATCCCTCCTTTTAGGCAGATAGCTCACGAGTGCTGTGCTGTAATCAAAGCAAACCTTCTGTGCGGCTATTAAGTAAAAGCAGCACTTTTCTGCTGAATTTTGACGGATGTTAATCGTTATGGCCTGTCAAAATTAGATCAATTAGTTGGCATAAGTATCTATTTAAAGCGATTTTACTTGGCAAAACGTCACTGAATAAAGGCATGCGCAGAAATGACATCCAGAAACTCTCCAGCAGACATAACTATTCTGAACTTGAGGAGTGGAAGATCCATAATGTTTTTACGGCATTATATTTCGTTTCGCTTCCGGCTCACAACTGCGAATTTAACATGTCTCATCTACTGTTACTAACCATGAATAAAAAACAATTTTCTTTCTGAAGATGACGACGATGTAATCATATATGTACTGGGAAAGAAGAAAGATATTGGGGCGAAGGAAGAGGATGAAGCTGATAATCAGAGCAAGAAAGTTAGGTAGAAGGATGCAGAGTCATTAAGCTTTTTGATGCTGGAGAATTTCATGTATCATATTTGAACGAAAATAGCTATGTTGACCGCTCTCGAATCCCTTTGAAGGATTTTTTTTTTTTTTTTTTTTTTTTTGCATGAAATCTATACGTACGGACAGGATAAAGTGCTCTCCTTTCCAAAACGCATTATAAAATGGATTAAGAAGAAATGTCAGATATGTAAGTACTGACATAACTCAGAAACGAGTGTCTTTAGGAAATTGAAATTTGGTATATGAGACTACTGTAACACCTAATTGTGCATCTCCTTTTTTTATTACAAACGGAAGCACCAATAACATATATATACACATATAAAATCACCCCTTTTACCCGACTCAAAACTCGTTACCAGGCTTTTATTTTCACAATCGTTGGTCATAAGCATATACTTTCAACCACAGAAGTATTTTAAATGCGAAAATATTCATGTTTTGGCAATGTCAAATTAAAACATAATAATAACAATTTTCGGTAAGAAGCATAATCTATTATTTAATATGGTTTTCCGGTTCCTGCACTTAGATTTGGGAAAGTTTTATATTGGTTATGAAAAATAAAATTAGAATAGGTTTGATTCCCGTAGGACAAAAATTGACCGGAATATTTGATTTCGAAATTCGCAATTTTTGATGTCATTTTCAACTTGCCTTTAGGAATCGATTAATGAAGTTATAACAAACTGAGTAAATAAGTTTAAATAAAGCGCAGCAAAAATTGCGTTTAATTTAATAGGCCATAAAAGGAAGCTGTGTGGCGTTCACATCAGATTTTTTAATATATCGAATTCTCCTTGTTAAAGGGATGCGTAAGAGCTTTTGTATATGGGAACAGCGAATTCAGTTGGTGCACCAACGTCAGTGTCTTTTTGCCCAGTGGGACAAAAAGTTAACTTTAAATTTTTGTTCGCGGGGAATTTTGTATTCCCACCCCTTGGTCGAATTGCTTGTTTTTGAGTAGAAATTCTGATTTGAATTGTAAAAATTATTTTTTTTAACTGTTTTCAACTGTATTTTGTGTTAGCTTTTTCTGTATTTTACAGTTTTTAACGAAAATGTTTTGAGTTTTTAATGTATAATTAATTGCCTTGGCGCGAAGTGAGAACTGAATTAATTGAATGAGAAATATATCTCTAGTGAAATTCTAGGAAATAAAATTAAATTGAGTGCAGCAAAAAATATGTACAGTTTAATAGGCCGTTCAAGGAAGTCATGATATGTCTATATCAGATATTTTTAGTTTGTAAGTATAACTGAAGTGAAAATTAATTAGTTTATTCATTAATTTTTAGATCTGTATATTATTTGTCTTTCTTAACGAATAAAACATAATGAAAGTTCACAGGCTAGGAATACTCGGGTGTTCTTGAGAAGCCTAAAAAAATCGAAAAGTTTTTCAATTTTAAAACAAAACGTTCCTAATTAAAAGAAAGACTTAAAGCCCTGTGAAAATTCAAGAACTGTACCAGTTGATGCTTTGTTTGTATGTCTGTTTCAACAACAGTTTCACATTTAGCCGAGATTAATTGTGTTTATTTTTTGGTGGGGAGGGTGGGGTGGAGAAGAGAAGTAATTCGATTTACAGCAATGCTAAATGTGATTTTCCATTTAGATGCTCGTTATTAAATTGCTGTTTTGATTGCACCGCTATAAAAACACTAAGTGAAACTGGGCTGTTATGCCAAATAAACAAATGAGATTTTTTAATAAATAATCGAGCAATTATCGTGTTTACGTACGCTTCATCGTTAAAATTGGCACTCTGAAAAGAAAATAAGCCATAAACTTTATGATTATTAAAATAGGAGATAACATAAGGTTACGTGAATAAAATTTGAAAAACAGGACAATGATACATAATTTTCAATCGGAAATGCATTTCAAATTTTATTGAGAAGACTTTTCCTCTTCCTAATTCCTAAGGAAAAAAAAATCCCCACATTCAAATCACAGGTTGAAAATTTCAAATAAAAAAAAAAAAACTAGTGAAAACTGCAAACTTTAGTCTATCACGTAATCGTATTTGAAAGTGAAACGAGTAATGGAAAAAATATGAATCTCAAAAGCTAATTTACGGCAATATTCAGGAATGAAAAAGGAAAAAAGATGAGAAAATAATACATCGAAAAAAAGCAAAGAGTGGAAATTACACGTTTTTAATGACTGAAGGGAAGAATAATGAAAAAAAGAGACACTCCCTAAAATTACAACCCGAAATCATTGCTAAAGAGAAGACTGTTAAAGTGTGGTCTTTAGAAATACATTATTCATAAATGTCATCCTTAGAAAATCGTTAAATAATGAAAACTAGTTCTGAATACGCCACGCGTGTAAATAATAAAAAGTTGACTCATTTTTAGCATGGAAGGAAACTCGTCGAAGAAAGGGGGGAAACTAAACCAGTAACAGCTGCGTATAAGCATAAAACGAGGTACTTACGATCAAGCATTTTCTCTTGGAAAAAGAATCTCCGAGACTTCTTATCTCATTAGCATGCCAGCTAAAATGAAAATGAAATGTTTGTGAATAAAAAATTGCATTTATGCTGGGGATTAATAACAGAGATAATTAAAAGCTACTAATATAGCAAACAAGGTATAACATTTACACTATTCTTACGCAATTTTGACAGTAATTTTAAAGCTAAAAGAGAAATCCTTCAATCAAATAAAAGAGAAACCCTGAATAAATGTGAAAATGTGAAAAACATATCAAATGTGATTCAGCGTTTAGAAGAACTAAAATTCATAAAATTGTAATGCATTGAAAAGCTATAAAGTGCATACCGAAATCTGGAGAATGCCGACTTTCACCGGTGAATGTTAACATTCACCTAGTCACTTGGTGTATGTCCGAAATATTTTCCAAATACTCTTATTTCTGACTTACACCGGTGAATGTCGACATTCACCATGTACTAATGGTGAATGTTGAACATGTAAGAATATTATATTTTCTTCTTCGTCATTCAGTCGCGAAAAAACGCACTTGAGACTTAATAAGAACTTATGAATATAAGAAAACTTAAAACACACAGTACATTCAAAATGAGAAAAGAAAATAATAGAAGTTAAAAACTTACTTAATTATACAGTACGTTCTAAATGATAAAATAAAGTAATAGTAATAAAAAACTTACTAAATTATGTGATTCAAATCTTATTTATTGCAACAACTTAAACTACTCGTATTATGACACTTTATGACCTCTCTTTTCGAGCTACACCAGAGCATATCTGTGGTTGTCGACTTACACCGGTGAGGATCCGAATGTACAAGAATGTAATGCAATAGTCGATCTTTCACCGACGTATTTGGTGAATGTTGACATTCTCCGGTGAAAGTCGACATTCTCCAATTTCGGTCTTTCACGGTAACACATACATAGAAAAGCTGAAACCAATCATCTATTTAATGTGATATTGGTCTTTTATGTGATTACTACGATAATGAACTGATGTTGTAAAATGTTTCACATTGTTTTCATAGTATATTGTTTTAATAACTTAACAACAGACCCTTTAGTCTGCTGAAAGACTTACTGTTATTTTTCATAACGTACTTATATCACTAAATTGGATTAACAGTAAATTTGAGGGCCTAGAATTCCTTCGCAACCTAGAAGTAGACCTAGAATTCCTTCGCTTATTTCGCACGCAATTCTTAGATAATACGGTAAATGTGGTTAGCATTATTTTCTTCAAAGAAAGTTTGCTGTTCCCCAAATGTTCCCTAGGGGATCGACTGGGGGGCAACTCCTGGTTTTCTTTGCTGGGTTCTGTACCAGGACAGATTCGACTAGATTCGATCCGACTTTTTTTTACAAAAATGCTGTATTCGAGCAAAGTACAACTGAAATTCCATTTTTTCAATAATCGAATTATTTATACTATTAAAAAATTTGTGCGCTTCTGGTTATCTGTTTGATGTGACGCCACCTCCTCCGGAAGGGCGGGGAGTTCAGTTTCGAGAAAGGTACCCACCCAGATTCCAAAAATTCGAGGGAAGCCATTTCGACCATTCTCTGCATCGTACGATTTTAATCAGCCGAAATACTAATTAAAAAACTCTGAAAGCGGTAATTTTCGTGCTCATTTTTCCGAGTGGCAACAGTCTCGGGAGTCGCTGGAGATGAAATATTTTATTTCAAAAAGTGTTGCCGCTGCTCGCTTTCAAATCATACAATTTGTTAATCAAAAATTTGTAAGCTTTACAAAATATGAAATAAAAATGCTGAAGTAAGCACGCGATTGCATGTGACGTCATCGTATGCGAAAAGACAGCATTTTAAATAAATAGCTGCTGTTGGCAACTCCTTTCTCCAGGTTTGGATGATTGACACGCTGAGTTATTGCCGTGTTACTTCTTTTACCGATACTGGAAAAAAGTTGTTATATTACATTACATTTAAATCACGACGTCATGCGTATACTTAATAACCTTAGGTGTCAAAAGTTTCTGTGTCCTGGATTGGCAACAAAACACTATTTACGAATTGGTTGTTGCTTGGAAAGAATGAATTGATATTATTCATATTTGCATTTTCTTTTCAGGTGTACATAGAACTTATAAATTTTGTTTGGGCCAGCTAGTTTACATTTATTATTTATTCAAAGAACTGTTTAGAAATTAAAGCAATAGAAAGAGTTCTGAAAAATCACTTTCCTCTGCGTGTCAGCTGACATATCAGCCCCATACTCATAACTCGCCCACGAAATACACGCATCCAGGGGAGATTTAATTGCGCTCATGAATGTTTAACTCAATCGTCCCACAACGGAGAAATGCAAAAGCTCTTCAAATAAATGGTTTGGAAAGTCGGACCGAATCTCAATTGCACCATTTCCTCCGGTACAGCGGTTATCGCCCATTTACCGGCACTTACAGGAGAATTAATTGCAAGAATTTCCCCCCTAACGAGGACACGTAAAATATTGATGCCATCATTTATGTCGCACTAGTGCATCATAAAAGGGGTCCACATTTCATAGCCATGCTCGAGAAAAAAGACTAACAGCGACAATTGTCATCTATTGGTCTCATTTATTTGCTGGGAAACCACATTAAAACAATTTCGCTAGTTTTTCTGAAAACAGTTTTCAAATTAGCATTCGTCTGTCTTTATTATCATCTCCCTCGTGTGCAGTGAAAAGTCATAGGCAGCAAAGTTACAAATACATGATCACAACGTTACAAGCGCAATTATTTTTATGGTTTCTTACGGAGTACATTGCGATATCTTTTAAAAATGTGATAGTACGGAAAGACAGAAAGAAAACTTAAGTTTGTTGACACAATTAACAGTACACTCTTGAGAATGTGTCCTCAAGGAAAATGAAGAAATTACGAAATATAAGTATCGCCAGAAGAAAAAGAACTAAAACGCACGCATTAGATAATCAGTTCAGAATCTGAATGGGATTCACAAGCAACTTATATAGCAGCTTTCTAACCTTTTAGCCCAAAGGGCGTTAGCCCAGAAGCGAGAACATACCTACATACCTACATGCCTACATTTATGCCAGAAACATACCTACATTGCATGCGAGAAACATGTACATTTGCATAAATGTAGGTATGTTTCTTGCAATGTAATAAAACAACGGCACATAGAGCCATCGAATTTTGAATGACGTAATCCTCCTACGAATATGGGCATGTGGATCACCAAATTTGAAATTTAGAATTTGTTTTATTATCGATTTCATATTTTGTAAACCTTTAACGAATTTTTGATTAACAAACGCAAGGATTTCAAAGCCAGCTGTAACAGATTTAAATAATATTAAAATTTTGTAGATTAAATAATTTAAATAGATGAACATTAAGGTATTTGTGGATGGCAATATTTGAAACCAGACTCGAGTGCCTCGTGCGACTCTCGCACGAAGAATGTAATTTATTTTTAAATGATAGAATATGTTTTCTCTTCTTGTTTTGTATGTCGCCATTTCTTTTGAGTGTTAAATAAAAGTTATTGCTGTGTTCCATCATTGGAGTTGCTTCATATTGCCAAAGAAGCATCACAGTCATAATTATTTTGAAGGCACCGACGAGATTTTACAGAATTCGAAATTTACAGAACTTTTCCCTTCGGTAAAAGTCTCTCCGTTGGGGAAGAGGTTGTAACAGATTTAAATAATATTAAAATTTTGTAGATTAAATAATTTAAATAGATGAACATTAAGGTATTTGTGGATGGCAATATTTGAAACCAGACTCGAGTGCCTCGTCCGACTCTCGCACGAAGAATTTAATTTATTTTTAAATGATAGAATATGTTTTCTTGTTTTGTATGTCGCCATTTTTTTTTAGTGTTAAATAAAAGTTATTGCTGTGTTCCATCATTGGAGTTGCTTCATATTGCCAAAGAAGCATTACACAGCAATGGCAACGTTGTACAGAAAAAATATTTTTATCTCCAGTGCGCGAGACTGTGTATCGGAAATTCTAAAGATATGCTCAATTTAAAATTATTTTGCGATATTGTTCTTGAAGTGAATTTTATGGTTTAAGTGTGAAGAACATGATATTTAATAAATAAAAGTAACACACAAAACGTTAAAAAAAAAAAGTCTCTTTAGACGTAATTTAAAATCTGAAACCTTTCAGATATTTAAAAAAATTTTTTTTTTACTTTACTCCTTTTAAATTACACCAGACAACGCAGCCAGTTTGCAGAATGTTTTTAAATCTCTATTGTGAAAGGCCAAATCTAAAACAAGATTTCTTCAAACCGGTACAAACCAGCAGAACGGCAACACAGCAGTCAGATAACGAATGTAAGAATGGGAATAGTTTGCCGAGGGATCACTGATGTCAAGGCCGAGGAGGAGAAACGATGAATCCGGTTCCTTGTAATCCTATCTGTCACGGAGTCCGACTTCGCAGGTAGTAATTCTCCTACCTGCGTGCTCGAAACCCTCACTCTAGGGAGGTACCGTTGTTCGATCTGAGCACAGATGGCATAAATGGAATCTTTTGAATTTCAATCGCTTACAACGTAATTACGCAAAGCTTATCTTTTGGCACAATTTTGTTTATTTTATCAATCTGTTAATTATTTTATGCTTTAAAATCAGCAATATATAAGTTAATAAACAATCTGGCAGCATGAGAAATTAAATTGTAGAAGGTTCATTGGCAGAGCAGCGAACAAGCGTTATTCTGTAGTAATAGCTCATACGTAGAAACTGATTTTATTAATTACAGTAAAGCTGTAAACATATATAATAGTTATTAGATAATTTATAAGTTGCATACATTACATACACAATAAATTACATAAGTTAGATATATTATTAAAAATTTCAATTCGTATAGTTTGTTATACTGATTAACTATCCACTACTATAATTTTTTAAATAAATTAAATATTTTACGCCTAAAAGTTGGCAAGATTCTCATTAGGAATCAGACTGAGTCTGTAGAAAAATTAAGTTAACGATTTAAACTTACGTGTCCCGCCCTTAGGCACTGCATGGAAAGGGAGGGATGCCC